AAGGACAATTTGGAAGTTGTCCAAGTGGAATTCAGTGTATACAAATAATAAACAAGGAATGACGCAAGATTGAAATGGCCTGTGGTGGGACGTGTTTGTAGAAATATGGGCAGTACAACTAAACACAAACCAGTCGTCTACACAAAGAGCACAAACATTTGACCATCAGACCCGATAAGAGTCCGCTGACCCCTCTGTCCACAGATTAGCATGTGCAAAAGACAACACACAGCAAACACACAATCACATATGCATGTAAGCAACACAATCATGAACAATGCAGTCGCTCTTCTTGTAGCGATGCACACATGTGTCCCTCCTCTTCTCAAAAATTCCTGCTCTTGTTTTTTCAGCCTGAGGCTGTGTGTTTTTCTTTGTAAGCCGGAATTCCTGTTTGCATTCACCTTTTTCCCCCAAACAGGCGAAAGGAAAACAAAAACATAATGAAGGGATTAAAGGAGATTACAGGTTGTCAAGAGTTCTGAAAGTCAAAGTGTCTACATGTGTGTGTAATGTACATTGTGTTTTTATAGAGGAGCGAAACATGTGTGTGCATGTTACGAGTGTCTGTTTGTGCACTGGGATTGTGTGTATGTGTGAATGGAGTTGTGAGTGTGCAAGAAGAGAATCACAGTTCTTCTTTCAGCTTGTCCTCTCCTCATCACAGAGGAATGGACACGGAGACCTCAGCAGCATTACACAAAGTAAACAGCACATCAATGGAAGAAGACTGCAGAAATACACTGAGACGTGTGTGAGATGGTGGATGTTTGTGCTCTGATTCTCGCGCAGCAATCAGGGCTTAATCCTGTGCATGTTTGAATTAAGTCACGTCTTGTTTGATAGTTGTGCAATAATGACTATAGTACAAAGCCATGATACAATTATTGAATTGCTGGTGCCAAATATCCATGATTTCATTTAGAAATATGGCACTCAGGTTTCCTTTTGGCTATTTGACTGACCGCGTCATTACCTTAATACCTTATCATGTGCTTATAAATCTTAAAGTGGCCGGAAAAGAAGCTGATGGATGGATAAAAAGAAGAAGAAAGCGTAATAATGTCAGAAAGCGGTGAAAAAGAATGAAGAAAGCAGGATAAGGGGTGAAACTGACAAAAATTGCAGAGAATAAATACATGAATCCTGGCTTCACGTCGTGATGGATCATTTTAGGATCGTCTTGAAATCGATCGGTTAGTCAGTAGTTGAATCTTGATGTTATCATTATGGTATTGCGCATTGTATTGCATCGATTGTATTGCATCCTATTGTACCATTAGATACCCTGCAGTTCCACAACATCTAGTTAGCTTGAGAGCTAACTGTCTGGCAGCATCTTATCAAAATGAATCAAGTGCAGACATAACTGCATACTTACTGAGAACAAATTACAGCGACTAAAGATGACAAGAAACAGATCCCCGAAAGGTCTGGTATGATTTTTTTTTCACATGACTCCAAAAGAGAACAAACACAAGACCAAAGAAAAAAATCGTATGTAACTTTCCGCTCTCTCGTGCTAAATTAAGTTGCTATTTCTGGAGATCGGAGAGGGGGGGGGGAAAAAATGCTTTATTCTTTGATTGCACAAGTTGCAATTTGACAAATCTCATCAGCAAGCATTCTTAGGTTCCAAGCTAAATGTTTACTTTTCATGTGCATCTGAGCTCAGAGAGAACGGAAACACTCAAACACAAACACAAACACCCAAACTTGGTAAAGCGTGTTCACAGGCCCTTCTGCATGGAATTTTATCAGGTTTATATTTAGATCACAAAACGGGCAGGACACGAAGGCAGTTTGAGATATCACAGGTCCCCTTCCTCCCATTGCTCCCACAGTTATCTATAAATACATCGATATATATTTATATATGAACACAGCAAGGATGGGGAAAGTCCAAAGTAGATCCGTTCCAGGCCACCCTCTCCTTTCAGAGAGAGCTCGATCACATGTGGCATTAAGACGAATGTACATGGGTAGGTTATAATATAAACAGAAATGCACTAAGCAAGATAAATGGGGAGACGGTACAAAGAAAAGAAGCCGACAGAGAACATGGAGTGCGAGTAAACTGGACCAGTCGGAAAAAGAACGAGCGAGAGAGCTGCTGAGTGAAGTGAAGGCGGAGGGAAAGACATGCTCACAACTGAAGTGCAGAATCTGTCACCAGTGAGATTTAATATACCGTTTAATTGTCAGACTGTGCATCTGTGCAAACACCCACATCCTCTGCTGCCGGAGACAAAAACATACATACACACACACACACACACACAGATGCACACACACACATAGACACACATGCACAAAGACACGCCCCCCCCGGCCAATAAAACAAAAAGCAGACACACATATGGACTCTAACTGTTGGATAAATTGAAAAATTCCAGAACAATAGAGCATGAAAGTTGAGGCGCTATAATTGTGTCTGTGTGTGTGTGTGTGTGTGTGTGTGTGTGTGTGTGTGTGTGTGTGTGTGTGTGTGTGTGTGTGTGTGTGTGTGTGCATAAAGATGATTAATGAGGAGAGGAAAGATGTTGTTTGTTTAAGAGTTGTACTGCGGGCAGTGTGACCAGAAGAGGGGGATTGTGGGAAAGTTAGTTGTAATGTATATTCAGAACTATCAAGCTGATGAGGGTGATCATGTGCCACTCCATGGAAGTTAAACACAGTGTGTCTTTGTGTGAGTGTGTGTGTGTGTGTGTGTGTGTGTGTGTGTGTGTTAGTGTGAAAGACGGATCCATATACAGACGTAAGAGTCTGATAAAGAGGATTATTTCAAACATTGTGTGTGTCCTGCAGCGTTACCTAAACAAGAACGCAGACAGGGCAGAGATTTGTGCCGGTCTGTGTGTGGCATGTGACAGATGGCGCTTGTCGCAGCTTCAGCGGTCGCAAACCGTTTACCCAGGAGGCATTGCTCACAGGGTTTGTTTTGATGAGGAGGCGCACCAAAAGGAGATCGCGTTACCACTCACTCAACGCCCTCACATGGCTCCGTCTAGTGTCCCCCCTTTTCCGCTCCCCCTTCTTCTCTCTCTATCCAGATTGTCTATCTCAAACATGAAAAACAATAAACACTCCCCCTGCTTTAGCTCACAAACAAACCCCTGCACATAAACACACACATTTTACAGCTTGTTCCTGCTCTTCTCTAGCGCACACACATTGTTCCTGTCCACACCACAGTGGCTGTGAAATCTCTTCCTATGCAAAGACAGGGTGCTGACAGAGGTGGAGGTAGCTGCGTGAAGGAGTTATGGAGAGGAGAATGAACTTGGTCAGGGAGGGAGGGAGGGAGGGAGGGAGGGAGGGGGGGAGGGTTGATCTGCTGGTAAAACCGGTGAATGTAGGATCCGGCCATCAGCGTTCAGCGCTGCTAAGAGACAGAAAGGATGCGATACCGAGAGTTATGGTGGGGAGCGTCTTAAAAATGGGGTCATTAGGTCAACCTGGAGGTGAGATTTCGATAAGCAGTCTCTGTTTTGGCTCACATGCAGGTTAAACTTTCAAACAGGCCGTCATACATAAGGAAGCTGCGCCAGCGGGAGTTATTTTAAGTGAGAGATAAGTGCAGCTGTGAAGGCAGGGTCGCTTTCATCAGCACTGACGAACCAGACTCAAGCAGACTTCTTGGAAGTTGTTGGGATTGACAGGCGTGACTGTGACACCACGTGCAAACACAGACATGCCACAGTCATACATGAGAGAGAGAGAGAATGTTTCTTACGTCTATAGGATCACTCCACATTATCATCTGGATGTCATTATTGTATTTTGTATCAAAGAGGATGTGAATCTGCATCCATTACCCCCTGTTTATTTATATGTAGTTACAGTGCAGCAGTTTGTCTATTCTTTCTTAAGCTGGTTCAGCAGGATTAATTCTCACTGAAACATGTGCACTTCTCTTAAGCATATTGTAGATTGTTGAATCCACTCATGTCTAACGTCATCAAAACTTCCGATACTTGAATCCTTTTCAATCCCACATGTTTAAAAAGAATACAATCTCCTTCATGATTAATGGTATGGAAAAGTATAAAAACTTTAAAAATAACACACTACAGATCTTCAGTCATATCTTGAAACATACAGAGAGAGAGCTCTGTCTAAACTGTACAAATACATTGGCAACCATTTGGTCCCAAAATGTTGCCAATGTATTTGTGTCATTTATAGAAAGTGTGCAGGAGTTTGCCTGTAATTTTTGGTCATTTTAAAACAAGAGATTTCCCAACCACGGGTGCCAAAAGGACTTGTATTTTTGTTGCCATGGTATCAAAACAGTTCTTGATATTAACCGTCTTTTTCAACCTTTCTGTCTCTGAGCGCCTCATAGAAAGGTGTCAGTGCAACCACTTTACTAAATACCCTGTAAGTGTTGAAACATATTGAATCCAAAGACTTCAACAGTAACAACACCTTTCCTGGAGCAGGAACACAATCACAATCGAGCTCAAGGACGAATCAGAACAGTGAGTGTTTGCCAAAACGGTGTAATGAGGCCAAAGTTTCTGAAAGTTGGATTCCCGAGTTTTCCTTTAAGTAGCTGCTGGAATATTCTGAATGGAAAATCTTAGTCAGCATTTTGCATTGGGAATGTGGTTTTAGCACCACATTTACAAATTTAGAATAATGTAGTGATAGTGAGAGTTATGTTAATTCTGTAGTGTCTTTCCGCTCTAAATATGAGGTTGATTTTGTTATAGTCAAAGGACTGATCTGTGAGTTTGTAAACTTTTCACATGATCGTGTCGTCAGGAGAATGTGATGTTTATACAAGAAGCTTCACCTTTAGACAGCACCTTTCAACAAAGGCGTAAATCCCTCAAATCCTGCCTCATCACGAGGCATTCAAACGGCACAAGGGCCTTTTATCACTCTGGACATATTTCTAATGAAGAGGTTTAGAAGTTTTTTCTTTTCAGACGTGTAGGTGCAAAGGTGATGTTCAAACCTTATCACAAGACGTTTGCCTCATCTGTTCCAACAACCAGAATATTTCCCAATGAAGACAAGTGATGCTTTTATGACAAATCTCAACAGGCAGTTTCATCCAAGGAAAAGATTACAAAAACAACTTTTTTATATATATATTACGTAAATGGCCAAATGTTCAGCCTCTGACCCTGACTTTATTGACCAGACAGCGATGAGAGTGCAAACAGTTTACTGTAAGAGTACACTGTAAGATGATAACAAAATCATCTGAAATTATATTAAAATTGATCCACTTCGATTGCTAACTGTCTTGTATTTCACCCTCTTGCACTAATTGCAAATGCAATTCTCAGGCAAGTATCGTTAATACCCTGACATTAAATGTGCACCCTGTGAAACTCAATTTGCACAGCGTCTAAGTGGCCTTGCACGCTGTCTGGCTTTTCACCAGCGTTTAATATACAAGTCTGGAAGCTTACAGACCTAACTACGCTGCATGTGAATACTAAATATTTATTTTACTTGATGTTGGCATCATATGGGAAAGCAAACTAATTATAGGTGAGAAGTTGCTCAATTACATTTTAAATCATGACAAACATTAAAATCCTTTCACACAGGACGCCAACAAGACGCAACGTTAACCACACAGAGGTTTCTTATGCCATCACGATCATGCTGTAGAGACTATAAAATCCATGTAAAAACACCCACCATCTGCAAAGAGACTTAGGGCACACTCACACTAGGCGAAGTCGCCCAGTGAAGTGCTGAAGCAATGATTGTCGCCCCCCCTCCCCCGTTCCCCTGCTGGTCTGCTCTCACACTGCTCCAGGACTAACCGGGCCTGAGCACGCTTACCTCTTGTACATAACGTCGTAATACAACAACATGCATGGCTTTACTTGATAATGAAGCGTGCTTAGTTTACAAGACAGGCGGACTCAAAAAATAAAAAAAGGGACAGGTTGTCAAATGTATCAGAGAACATGAAAGCTACTTTACTTTACTTTTTTTCCAGGTACAGTCAGAAAACTGCAAAATTTCTCTATAATGGAAGGCTGTCCATGTTTCATGCCCGTGCTTGTGCTCATACATGAGCAACTGTGCCGGGCTGAAGCACACCTCTTCCAACAAGGGCAAGAGCCAATGAAGTGAACTGTGCATGAGCACGGAACGGAGCACTCGCACCAGACAAACGAACTGGACTTTGAGGGCCAAGCGTGCTTGGGCACGGTACGGACCGACTAGTGTGAGTGGACACACGAAAATAAATGTAAATACATGTATCTGCATTAGGTTTAACATTTGCTTTGGGCCTACAAATGCTTCCCTCACACACAAATACACACATACTCAAACACACAGTTCCTACATTCAACATTTATGAGGAATAACAAGAAAACATCAAGTAATGTGAATGCTGAACTGTTCTTTATGCGTTACATTAACACCCACTGGACTTTAAAAATGTCTCTTCCTTACATGCACTCTGAGTAGTTACACACACTAAGATATTTTTTTTCTCATAGTCCACTGCACAGCTCCCACATTACACCTTTGGTACATTTTGTGTTTTTATTTTTATCTTTATTTTTTATATTTTTAATTTTTAAATTATATTTTATATATTGTAATAGCTTCTTATACTGTATTATTTAAGTTGTTGCTTTTTCTGCTTTATTTCCTTGTTAAGCACCAATACACCAAGTCAAATTCCTTGTATGTGTAAATGTACTTTCTGATTCTGATTCTGATTCTGAATAAATAATCTTCCTCGGCCCACATACAAACAACCTCTGTAAAAGTGAACAAGCACAGCATAGAGTGTGTGTGTGTGTGTGTAAATGTGTGAAAGACAGACAGACACATGACAGTAATCAAGCCACTTAAGTTAAGCAGTCACACATGAAGCCTGAACGCCAAGAGCTCGTAACTTGTGTAGAAAATCGAATCTCGGGATAAAGAATGTCTCAGATCTCCGTCTGACCTGAACATGTTGACACGCTGCTGGCATTTAGCTGGACATGTGTTATATAAAGACACGTACATAGTGTAAGAAATGTGTATTCTGGTACTGTAAGTGAATGTGGTTAAAGAGAGGGGAAGCAGTGATAGTTAAGCGCTTGTCTCTTTTCATCCCTTTCTCCAAAGGGACACCAGAGACTTTAATTACCTGCACCTGTGAGCACACAAAGAGCCCCACCCACCAATCTGGCTGTGGACCACACCCTAGTTCCCACGGTAACCTACCTTAAAACCCCTTTTCACACAATCCCACTTCCTCCTTGCACACACACACACACACATAAAAAGTCCCGATACTGTACGACGTATGAGCTAAGATCAGCAAGCGGAAGAAGAGGATAGCCTACTCACATCCAGAGAGTCCTCGTTGACGATGATGAGGGACATGCCGTGTGAAATCAGACGACAGGAGTAACCTGAGAAACAGAAACACATAAAGGATGGAGGAGAGTGGGGGAAGGGAGAAGGATTAGATGTACTCAAACCCAAAACACAGGTGAAACAGTGCTCTCATGTTTGAGTGGATTTTGCTAAATCCTGCTCCATTCACACACGGCTATCTGACTCCAGTCTTCGCTATCGGCCTCCAGCTATCATCGTATCTCTTTTGTAATCTGCTGTGCGGAATTCATCTAGACTATCAGCAAAACGGCTAACTCACAACTGCTCTAAATATATATCATTCTATATGCTAAGACTTTAATTTTTTCAATACCACAGGACACAATCTGTAGTAAAACAAAAAAACAAGAAATGACACAACATCGGTTCTTGTATTTTTGTTGACTTGGTATCGAAAAGGGATCAATATTTTAGTTTATATTACAATGTTATCAAAGTTTAAAGCTCTGGTATAGTGTTAACTCGACTTGATAGATTGTAAAGCTCAACCACATGAAGGTGTGTGAATAAAAATACTTTTTGTTACACACAGACCAAGAAGATTCCTTCGACGAAAATTAGACGCAGACGTCTCTTATGTGTTGTTTAAGTCTGGTTTAGTGGATTTCTGCCATAATCTTCCTCCAGAGCTGCCGAGACAACCCTTACGCACCAGTGTCATTACTGTGCAATTTGAAGCGCCTTCTCTCCTGCGTACTCTGCATACTTACTTGGAGAGCGGAGACATGTCTGGCATTTCCTAGCCAAAATAATGCCTGCTCTTTTTCTGGCCTTAACTTAATAAACTCCACAATAGACAGAGTGCCCAGCTCTGCTGAACATGAGGCTTCAGTGACAGGGGGGCTTTCCCGCACTATCACTGGCTCATCAGCTGCTCCCACTTTCTATCCGAACTGTCCTCCCTGGGACTTCATACGCTTTCGAAAAGCCCTCTTACCTATGTTGATGGCGGTCTCCTGCTTGTCTCCAGTGAGGACCCAGATCTTGATGTCCGCCCTCATCAGAGTGGCGATGGTCTCTGGCACGCCGGCCTGCAGACGGTCCTCTATGGCTGTGGCGCCCAGCAGCAGTAGATTCTGTTTGTGGAAGAGAAGAGTGTGACACATGAAGAGACAGAAATAATCAGATCGAAGATCAAGAAGGAGAAGAACAGGTTCACGTCTCATATCTAGGCAAGAAAATCTGCCAAATATCAACAGCCTTAATGTGAAGGCTCTTTTATCTCCAGGGAACATCATCCATATTTCATTTAGGGATGAGAATGACGCCAGCTCAGCTCAGTTCATTTGCTCATTTTTGGACCTCTGTACCAACTCTGTGTCTTCGTGCCAAGAGGTAACCCATTACCCGTCCCCCCTCCCCCCGTCCCCCCGTCCCCTTTGCTTTAATTTGTTCAGCATTTAAATGCATGTGTACCCTCATTAGACACACTTGGATGCACACACACACAAACACTCGCACGGAAACACAAGTTAACACTACTGTGTTGTTGACTCCAGTTTTATGGGGCTTTTGGCAGGCTGGTGCAGGTAATTACCCCTGTGGTCTGCAAGTCTGAGTCCCCCTCCTCCATCTCCTCCTGCTTCCTCTTCTTTCCTCTTCACTTACTTTTCTCACCTCGTCTCACTCCGCTAAATCCTTGACTTTCCCGCCCATCAGTTAAACTGTCATCAGCCTACCCTCTGAGCTGATGATGAACGCTCCTTCACTGCCCTCATCCATCCAACCAGTACAGCGTTTACATGACGGTTTACTTCAAACCATCTTTATTCTTCATCACACAAAAAAAAAAGGCAGACACCTTTAAGGGAATCTAAGTGTGTGAGTAATGAACTGAAGGAACCCTGTTTCTTCTTGTGTGGGACTCAATAGAACCACTCTGCCCCCTGCTGGCAAATGACGTGTACTTGTGAGAGAGGAATACTTGTAAGTTCACGTAGGTATCTGCCTTGAAGTTTCTGAATACTTCAATTCATTGTCTTGCTCCTGTTCATCTCTTACAATAAGCTCGTTAGACTTTCAGGCACCTTGTTTGTGCCGTCACATGTCACATAAGGTTGGAGGTCACAAATACACGTTAGTACAATGAAGGGATATATTGTGATTACCTTTTCCAGTAGTTCATAGCACTCCTCTAGTTTCTGAGCGCGGTCTTTGAGCACAGTGCTGACACGATTGTATTCCTTCAGCCACTCCTGGTAGGCGCCTTCCTCCAGGTCCACATAGGCAAAACATAAAGTCCTCAGGCCTGGAAGGAGGGGAGGAAGACAAGACGATAAACTACTGTGAGCATGGCGCCGGAGTAAATCCCTTTTTTTCTTTTTCTTTTTTAATGGGATAAAGTTTTCTTTCCATTGGAAAAATCAGAACCAGAAACCTTTTAAAAGTCTCATGACCATTACTTGACAAATCTAAATTCAGATTGAAGTCTTCTGATGAAATAAACAAATCCTGCCTCATTCTTCACCATTTAAGAATTGCTTCCCTGTTAGTTCAATGACTCTCATATCTGTACAACTATTGATTGTATATGTATATGTTACTGCTTTAGCTTGAAGATGGAATTCTGTCTTCTTGAGTCGAGTAGAGTTGCAACCTTTTTATCTTGTTTAATACACTTGCATTCAAAAATATCAAATAGTTGAGTACTGGGTGCTGGACAAAAAACAGATCCAAAGACTAAGCTGCACAGCAGAAGCTGCTCCAATTAACATTTCATGGGAATTATCACCACATGTAACGATTCAGGCCCTCAGCCTTCATCAGACATGACATAATACTCTTTTATTGCCATCAATTTTTTTATTTAGGTGTTTACGTATCTGCCTATTTTTTCACACTAAAATAATCTTTCAGGACAAGAATGAAAAAGCACGTGTATAAAGAGTGTTAGAATAACGACCCATCTATGGTTGCTTTCCCGCTCTCTCTCTTTGCCTTCTTACCTTCAGTAGCAAATTGTTCCAGATGAGCAACAGTTAATTCTTTATACTCGGATGACTCCATCAGCCGTTCAAAAATGACATTATCCTGTCAAACAAAGTAAAAAAAAACAAAAAAAAAACAGAAATTCAGCACTAAAATATTTAAGAGATTTGGAGTAGTGGACAACACCTTTAATGAGATAAACATACCGCTCCTTTGCAGTACAGGCGTAGCTTCCCACAGGGGGTTCTCACAACCACAGACATGCGTTTGCGGTTACTGTAAAGGAAGCAGTGGGCTCGGTTTTAAACACACTAGTCTCAAATTACGGAGTTATTTACAGACTGAGAAGTGATTTTATGGTTAATGTTACCTGGAAAACTCCAGAACGTTCAGTAGCTCATAGCTCATCTCTTTCCCCCTCTGAAATAAACAACAAAACGTCAGCGCAGAACTTTCCAGAAAGTAGCTCAAAGTGGGGGGGGGGACACACAAATGCACACTTACAGCTTCGATTATGACTGAGTCCGGTGTTCTCGCGGTGAAGACAAACCCGAGGCCTTTTGCACCTTTGACCAGCGCTCCTTCGTCTGGTGAAGAGGCCTGGTAGATGATCTGGTTTTCCTCTCTCTCTGGGACCACCGTGTGGCACACTGCCATCATGGTGAGGAACTCGCAGATCTGCGGCGATGTAGGCTGAACACAAACACACACACACATATATATATATATTTATATATATAGTGGTGATTTTGATCCTCTTGTCTCTGTGGGCTGGTTTTCTTCACATAAAGAAACATGAGCAGAGATAATGAAACTCACATGGTTCTCTATGTTTTGGACTAGTGTAGGGTCGTCGAACTCTGTCGAGTTATTGCTGTTGGACGGCAGATTACTGTTGAGACATCACATGAATTACTTACAAAAAAAAAAGAATTTAATGAGCATTGTTTTTGTTGTTTTGGCCAAAGCAACTACACTGGATCTATTTTTCAAACGTGCAGATTCTAAGACAAAGAAGAAGAAGAAGACAGAAAGGATGGTGAAAGGGTCAGAGGAGGTCACTAACCTAAAGTCCTCCATTGAACGGTCACAGTCAAGCTCAGGGAAGTGGCTGCAGTGACAAATGAGGATGTATCGCAAAAGGAATCAGTTGATGAGTTGATTAGTTTACTCGATCGAGTAAAATAAATGGATTAATAACAGATCATTCTTCACTACAAGTTAAGTCAGAGATAAGTGGTGTAAAAGTTTGAGATTAAATGAAACTCAGTGCAAAGGTCAATTTAGTGGCATTATAAAGGTGAATCGATTAAAAGATTCAAGCAGAGCTAAGAGGCAGGAATTCACAAAAAAAAACAAAAAAACAAGTGATTACTGACCCGTATGTGATTCCTGCAATGGTACACTTCTTGAAGTGCATGACGTTACAAGTCAGAGTTCCCGTTTTGTCGGAGAAGAGATACTTCACCTGGAAAATACAAACAAAAAGGAGAGAAAGCAAACATTGACTTTGATTGTGTAATAAGAATTTTGTCCATTTCTACTTTAATCCAACAGGCGTTAATGAATGACGAGGGCGAGGAACCGACCTGGCCCAGTTCCTCGTTAAGATTGGACGTTCGAGCCATGGCCGGCGTGTCGGTCTCTGCGTAATACATCTCCATGTCCTAAAGGAGAAGAAAAAAACACAAGCTAAAGTGAGCAGGGATATTTGACTACATCTCAACATGCGATTTTCAAAAACACACATACCCAGTTGATGAAGAGTGCCTGTGTGAACTTGACCACCTCCAGAGTGACCAGCAGGCTGATGGGGATCAGGTTGTTGTACAGGATGATGAACGTCAGCAGGTTGTAAGCAAAGTTAGTGGAGATGTCGCCTGCACAAACGCACAACAGTCACTTGCTGAATCATTCTTCCTCGCGGTTGCTTATCTTTACATTATGGGTTGTAAAAGTGGTTTGCGTTCTCACCGGCCCGGGACAGGTACCAGCAGGCGTCTTCGGTGTGTTCTCTGTTCCAGATGGCGGCACCCACAGAGCTGACCAGGGCCATGACCAGCAGGATGCCAAACAAGACTAGGATCTGCATGTTGGTCACCCGCTCCACGTTAGAGCGCTTCAGAGGCGCCTTGGTGGAGTTCTGGGAGGTGGATGGACCCAGGAATACAACAAGTGTGAAGCACAAAGGCAGTCACATAAAGATTTTCTGCAGCCTTTAGACACTTTTTCTGCACTCGTCTAATTTGTCCAACATGATTATAAACATAAAGCTATCATTAAAATGTTGTGTTTTTTTTAATCATTTTCTGGCAGGACAATGTGTCAGCAGTTCAAACACGGGGAAGGAGCTTGGATGTACTCCCAGTTATACATTTGTTGAACAGTTAATTAAACTACTCCTATAAGGTCTAAAAACAAAAATCAGATTGAACTCCATTGAAAGCAGGATTTTCAAACATTATACTCAGTTTAATTCAACCTTAATTACTTAAGTTTAGACAAGTCTTTGTGATTACCTGCATCAGTTTGGAGTCGTGGCCAGTGTAGACAACAATTCCTGCAACCCACTGTGTGTTCCTGAGCTGAGCGCCGCGCAGCAACACCTGGTCCGGACCCAAGGGAACAGGACTGAAGAAAACAAGAGAGGAAATAAGCAGCAAGAGATGACTTTTTGCTTTCAGTGCCAACAGAATGCAAACGCCTTCGTATCGATTTACAAGTAATAAAACCGTAACAGCGGAAACAAAACCTGCTATTTTCATTGTGTACAAATCAATAAAAAGCATAATATGTGTTAGTGTCTCACTTCTGGTTCTCCAGTCGCAGTGTGCCAGTGAAATCATACAGGTGTCTGTTCGGACCCTCACACTCCAAACGGCCAGACAGCGCCACCAAATCCTCCAGAGTCTGAGCCCCCGCTGTGAGCGAGAGACCCTGGAAAAAAAAAAGAAGAAGAAAGATTGATAATGACAGGTAGGGTCAAGGCAAGTTTATTGAGGGAATCATTTTACATAATGACAAAACAATGACAGGTATAGAATGACAAAGTAAGTCATGGAAAATACAGGTTCAATAAAAACATACATAAAAAGACGACAAAGAGAGGGAATAAGAACTAAAGGGGAACATGATCCAATCTTTTGTTTAACCAGCGTGTATGCAACTGTGAGGATTGAAAGGAAGCTGGCTTCAATGTGATACAGAGTCCTGACAGCGAATGCTAACATATTTAATTGATGCTTTCATTTGCATCCAAACACTAAGAAGTATAACATGTTCCTAAAATAAAGTTTGAGAACTCTCTCCTAAACAAGTGACCTCATTTTATTGTACGTTTTAAAACATCTACAGTTCTGGAAGCGCAGAAGGTGCTGACCATGAGACATATCGCTGAACTGAGAAATGTGGACAGATGTGTGCCTGTATCATACCTGTCTGATCTTCAGGTTGGTTTCTCCATCCAGGTTGGAGGTCTCGGTGTAACACATGGCCTGAGGCTCGCTGCGGAGTAGAAACAGGATTACTTCACAACAATGTAGTAATTCATCCTTCAGTCAGACAGGACCTGCGTAGATTTACAGTCAGGGCAACGTTATGGATCGTTTAACTTCCTGTCATTTGTCTTTGTTTTGTTTTTTAACACATAAATCAATAAACTGACAAAGCAATGGATTGATTGAGAATAACAATAATTAGCTTAAAATACACAATAAATGATGACAGCAAACATCAATCAAAAGACAATGAAGGCCCACACACATGCACACTCATTCACATGGAGTCTGACCTGGAGGACACAATAACCATGTCAGCTGGAAGGTGTTGGCCATTGGTCACCTTCACTATGTCTCCTACTGCCACCTTGTGGCCAGGAAGCAGCAGTGCAGAGTGAGGGGAAAGAGAAGGGGTATTAAGATAAAGAGTAAGGGGGTGGGGGGTGGGGTGGGGTGCAGAGAAGAAACAAGAAGAAGGTTAATTGTTGACCAGCCATTAGTGGAAGAAAAAGACTTGAGATAAAGTGAGCACAGCGGTGCATAGCTTAACTGTAGGCACACCATGATAAGACACACAGATTCCAAGCACGGAGGCAAGAGAATCGGGAGAGAGTTCACCGTTCAGCTCAGCATAAGGAGGCGTGATAACCTTACAAAACTGAAGCTTTATAAAGATCTATTTATAAAAACTTGGGCAGAATGCCTTTGACTCTCGAAAATTTCACAAAAGATTGAAAGATTGTAGCCAAAAAGATTCTTTTGGTGAACAGATTACAAAAGGAAGGAACTACGTGCTCACATGAAAAAAAAAAAAAGAGGTTTGGGAAAGAATGTGGAGTTGATATTATCAGGAGAGACAGACAAGAGTGGACACATCCAGTGTGCACATCAGGAGCGATTAAAACTACTGAATCTGATATTTTAGACTCTCTGAAATGTGGCGCCTTGGAGGGGACATACTCTTGATTCTATCAGATATCCTAAACTGTTTACTGAAGCCTCAGCGCAACTCTCTTGCGGCACCCTCCTTAGGGGGGAAACTGGCTTTCTACCAAAGTGCTACTTCACTGATCTCGCAGCATGTAATTAATCACAAGGGGAAATGCCTCTTATTTAGTCAAACGATGTCATGAAGGCAGAATCCAAGTTCGCCACAAAGAGTTCTCGCATCGAGCAAAGCAGCATTCAAGGCAAACTACTTGTCACCACCTCTCTATAACATGATCACTGAGTTATCAAAGCAGCCCTGGACAAACTCCTTCACCTGTTCTGACCCTCATTAATGAGCGGGGGTCAAATTCCGGGGCAATGCACTGTTGTAACCCACATCACAAGGACTCGAGTTTGAATTGAATGGACCTGCTGAGCAGAGAATGTACACAGCTGGACTCAGAGTTAATGAGTACATTCAAGGAGACCACCCGATGATAAGAAAATGACTGTTTTTTTACACATGCACAAAACTCCCGGCCTCCTAGTGACATTTCTGAGCCAATGTGAGAGCACAGGAGGAAATACTGAGGAAACTTCACTGTGGGCCAGTGAGCAGGGCTTAGGATACTGATAGGATCCCAACTAGCGCTGCTATCTTAGTGCACATAATGAAGCTGCTTGATCATTGTCGTCTACAATCTTCTTGGATCATGGATTCTCACAGCATTTTTTTTTTTAAAGTCATGTCTTGCCTCTTGAGACACGCCCCCTCCTCAAACAGGAGGAAACTTCTCACTGTGAAGTGACGTGTGTGAATGAGACATTTAAGAAGAGTTCAACGGCAAGCGGTCTGTCATGTTAAAGAATAAGGAGTGCATGTGTGCAAACAGCTACCATAGCATTAAAACACAAGGTACAAAACACTTTGTACTGTGACAGCCCCATGATTCATGAATGTTCAGGTCAATTGGGCTGAGAATAAATGGAAGAAAAACCTTTAGAATGTGTCTCAGATGCAGACCAACAGAGAAAACCTAATTATTTAACTAACAAGGTTGGCCTATGTGGAAAATTGGACGAACAAAAATCACCAAACACATTTACTTGTAATCCAGCCCATAAAAATCAATACTAATAGGAAGAGTATCGTTCTCCTGTCAGGGATTCAAAACACAGACAGATCCGAACCATGTTCAGACTTTAGACTACTGAATACAAGAAGTCCCTGAAACCAAAAGGTGAAAAAAAAATAATCAGAAAAGTCACTTTGAGACAGAAAGAGCTCATCTGAGATGAATGTAACTTCTTAGTATTCAAATAAAGGAACGAATCGGATGCTCTAAAAACACTGAAGGACAGTAAAAAGGCTGCATTGTCCTTGTACTTGTCCATGTTCTATGTAACCTGTCATTTTGTTTTGCTCTTTTGCTTTGGCAGTAATAATAATAATAAAGTTACCCTGTATCAACATTATTGATTTGGTTTTGTTTTCTTATTCACTGAAGAAGAAATGTATCCGTTCATCTTGCGCTTCTTGGTTGCTTAATACAGTCTTCTATTACTTCAGTCATGCCATTAAGGGCTTTTTAAGTGAGTTGTACAACTGAACAGGGTAAAGGGAGAGACAGAACACAGGGGTGAAGAGTGAGATGAAGTCTGTGATACCTGTTTCCAGATGATCGTCTGCCAGGCTCCGCCCTGCAGCACTGAGAGACAAGGACAACACAGCCATCAGTCAGCCTATAGACAGCGCTCATACAGTATTCATAGCCGCTAACTTTTGTCTGGGGTCGGCACTATAGTGAGTGACAGACAACAGCTATTCAGTCAGCCATGAAAGGAAAACAAAACCCACGCAAACAGACGTGAGCACACTCATGGAAAAGCGCACACGCGGTTGATGATCAGTAACAAGCGCACACACGCAGACGATACCTGTTGTCTTCTTCTTGTTCACGGTGTTGTCTGCTTTGTGTCTTTTCTGGAAAAACAAAACAAAACAAAAAAAACAGATAAAGATATCCAAATGCTCTTTTTGAATCTTTAAAGTTTTAATTTCCACCCATAGAGCACGCTGTGACGTGTTACTCACGTAGTCCTCTATGATCTCTTTGATCCCCGCCACGGTGAGGATGAAGATGAGCGGGACCAGTGTGGTGTAGCGACCGGTCGGCGATACATCCGGTATTTGCTGCAGAGAGTCAAGAGGGGCAGCACTCAGAAATCGCTGCTGATAGCGAGCGATGAGGAGCTTTAAGGACTCATAATGGACCGTCGGGAGTGATGGCAGAGATAAACCTTTGTTTAAACTGCATTAAGACATCAGACAGGAAGGAGGAAGTGCAACTGTTTCATGAAGCACACACAGATGATCTCTGATGATCGGATTTAAGTTTAGGACAGTTTAATAAGAACAACATGCCATATTTAATTGAGCATAAGTAGTATTTCATAACTCATGAAATCAGTCTGGTCTATGATGTGTTCCTGATGAGCTTTTATTCTCTTCCTTGTGGCTTTATTTGTATTTGTAAACTTTTAACTTTAAACATCCAGAAAACTACATATAAAAACTCCATGTCTGAATAATAGCTGGGCCTATGGGAATCTTTGATGTACGGATGAACATCGGTATCGTCCGATAGCAGCCCTGTTCACCGACATCAGCCATATAGGCAAATAACATTTGTTGTGTCTTGTCAGTTTAATGCTGGCAAGCTAGTACAACTCAGTGCTGATTTACACAGGTGTTTTTATGGGCCAGAAGCTGTTGGACAAGAAGGCTATGGGTGCCAAGCCGAACATGTGTGATTTGTTTTCATAGTAAAAAAAAAATGACAGTGAGGGAGCTTTACAGCGTCTATGAAAAAGATCAGCGACATGCAGTTTTTAAGACATCTGCCAGTGACAAGAGAAGGGGAAAACTAGTAACAATTTAAAACATTTCATCTCATAGTGAATTGAAGAAAAAAAACATTAAGAATTTATTATTTAAAAAAAAAATCAGGATAGCCTATTGGCGATGTTGTTATCACGCTACAGCCTGATTTTCACAACTAACGCATCTCTGCTTTCAAGTTGAATTTTCAGTCAGGATTGCTCATCCACAGCCTGTGTTGGCCACAGAATAAAATAAAAAGCGCACTCAACCAACAGCATTTCTTCTTTTTTTTTTTTTTTTGTGTGTGTGTGTGCGTGTGTATCTGTGTGTGTGGGGGGGTTTACCTGCATGAGTGCGATGAACAGGAAGAAGGCGTTTGCAGCTCGCCTGATCTGCTCGTACAGGAACCGAGGCAGAAAGGTGAGGACCCCATACTTGGTGGTACTGCAAAAGAGGGCAAGGAGAGAGGGCACTTGAAGCTTGTTTACATTACGACAGTGAAGGCCGAGCCAGGTGATGCATTAGCAAAAGCAGGAGTTCATGCATAAATTGTGTGCTAATGATTTTTTTTTTTTTTTTTTACCTGACACACTCCAGCAGCATTACCTTAAAGGCTGAATAGCTACAGACTCGTTATTGCAGCTCAATACTGCAGCACTTTAAAATCTATCAGAAACAACTCAATTATACTCAGAGAGGGCAAACAGAGTCATTATGACCTGCACACACATCACACCTATAAGCAGACAAATGACTTAAATCCAACAATCTAAATTTAGACCCAAAACCCCAGAAAACAGGTACTAAAACCTTGGCCGCCCCGACCTGTCAGTCAATCTACTGTACTAATCAGACAAGTGTATTGATTAGCCTTTTTAAAGCTAGGAGCTACCGTAAGAGCTTTTACAGGAGCTAAAAATAAAAGAGTCAACCTTCAGGCCAGGCCCTGCCTTTTTTTCTCCCTGCATGGCCCTGAGTGAAAAGTGAGAGCTTTTTTCGATGGCTTCGGTTTAATGGATAGTGTATTTTTGTGCGCTTGAGTGCATCAGGTAAGTGCAACACCCTGCTCCATCTCAGTTCACCATCTCATCTGAGATACCCATAACTTATTTTTCCTCATGTGTCCCACTTCTCAGAGAAAACAAAACTACACCGGGAAGGACTGTACACTGAAAACAAGAGGAGCAACAGCTGCTAGTCGATGTCACACAGGCACACACACACATTTAATGTCCTGACTCTGATCCTCTCGATTCATCAGGGTAACTGATACTACAGCTATGATCCAGAGCCTCCCTAATCTAATCAAAGACGAGTGATATAAGACTCAATGAGCACAATAAAGAAAAACACACGTGCATTTACACTACACCAGTTAAAAAAAAAAAATGGCAAAAACATCTGGCTGTGTTATTTTTCATACTATGGATGTCCAACTAACTTGCTGGCGATACTAACAGCTGTTAGCTGCAGGGGAGGTACTCTCCTGCTGCTCTGTGCCTGTTTCATTTAAAAGATCAGTTTCAGTAAGAAGTCTTCTATGCACAAAGAAGAAGGCAGCAGATGGATTTGTTGGAATGAAGGCAATTATAAAATGAATTTCTTAGGCATAATAGAGTAGGGTGCTTTGTTACATATGAGCACAGGAGAGCACTAATGCACAGGTTGTGCAAACACAACAACATGCACTGAAATATGGAAGTGGGAGACCCGTGGAATGGAGAGGAGGTGAGTCGAAAGTGCTGATAAAAGCTACAGGGCTTTAATCTCAGGAAAAAAATCAATAAGGCTATTGAACCTTTAAAACATAAACTAAAAAGTTACAGGAACACGGGGACATCAAAGGGCATGCCTCTGGAGCCAAAGTGCTCCTGACTCTCCAATCAGCAGGCAGCAGGATCGAAAAAAAACGACAACAAAAAAAAAACCACCACTCGCTAGCCAATCAAGTGAGACAGAGAGAAGCAGCCCGGCCTTAATCGAATTTGTGGAGCTGAAATAGGCTGTTTAAAAGTGAAATTAAATCTCCTGATAATGATGGCACTCTACTGAACGACAAACGACGAACCTCCAACTCACAGCAACATGACCCCAATGAAATAATTCAAGGTAAATACAAGAATCAAACTGAATCAAACTCTAACGCTGCTTCTCCTATCTGCAACTGAGTATCAACATGACAACCTTAAGGTCTTTAAATATGGTAATGACATCTGGGATCATGTTGATGAAAGAGACTCCTCTACAACAGTGTGTGATGTGAAGTCCTGCCCATTACCCTGACTGTCACATATACTGTAAATACATTATAGCAGACATTTGGATAAACCTCACAGCTACAACATCCAAGCGTAAATTCACACACATGTTCACTGCTGTGAAAAATAGTGATACTCATTGTAAGTGTGGTCTGGTACTTGTAGCTCACTTTCTTGCCTCTGCTTCTCAGAACACAAACAGTCAGGACAAAGAAAAGTCACACGTCCGGCCTTTAAGCGACGTTCAGAGGCATCACATTGTGACGCTTTCATTCTCGGTGAAATCGGCTCTACAATGACCCCTCTAGGTTCCTCAAACACAAACACAGAATACACCTTTGACCAGATCAACACAGCTGAGACGCTTTCTGGGAAATGTATGCAAACAAATGCACATTTAGTTACTTTATTTTTATTGGCAGCCTTAAATATTCATGAGCGCATTGATTAAGCAACAGGGTGATGTTACGGTGTTAAGCCGAACACTTTACCACTCACGTTCTAATGTGGACTTCAGGCTGAGGCATATGTCAGCATGGCAAATAATCACTTAATAGGTGAGTTATTAAAAAGCTTTCTTGGTATAGTTTCACCTGCAGAACTGTTGTCACTGTGGAACTCAAAGAGAACAGTTTCATTTTTGATAACTGCGATTTAAAGTGAAACACGGAAATGTTAAAGAAAGAGGAAAAGAAATCTCAGTGGTCCAAAGTCTACTTGTCACTCATGGTACGCCGGGAAAAAAAAAAAAAAACACACACAGGCTGTAACGTCCTTCAACTCAACAACTCGTGTGTAAAGTCCCTTTGAGCAAATATCCACAAACAAGGGGACCTTTTTTTGCGAAACACCAAATCCCTACAAAGCGACCTGTGCTCTTTGACCCTCATGGGAAAGGCTTCAGGAAAGAAGCACATCTTAAAACATGGCCAGGATGAGCTAATCGACTTCAGAGTATCGCTGATTCTTTCGCTCAGACAATGTTAGAAAAAGTAAAAACAAAAGTAAAACAAGAAGGGCATTACAAGTCTAATGATATGTGTACTTTAATTCAAACTTTCTGGACACAATTCAATTAGTTTTGATGGACAAAATTCTCCCTTTCTTTCTTTTGTTGCATGTTCATCGAGTAGGCACATATTTGACTTTCATATTTGACGCCCAAGGAAATCAAGCATCAGAGCAAAAAATGCAGATAGTAAAGAGCCCACGGTATCAACCCACCTGACGTGGTTGTCACAGAACTTGGTAATCTGTGGCCGGTTGAGCAGCACCGTCCGCGCCGTGGCGTCTACGGGATCCGCCTGGGAAGTGGTCCCGGACATCTCATCATCTGCCTTGCGGTAACCGGTGGACGAGCAAGCAGGTCCTGCACCGTTGGATTGATGGGAGAGAGGCGAGGCTGAGTGATTGTGAGTGAGAGACAGTGAGACGGAGATAGAGTGAGAGAGAGAGAGCGAGGAAGAGAGAGAGAGGACGGGAGGGAGGGAAAGACAGAGACATAGACGGGAGACGTGGTTTACAGTTCAAAAGAGAAGGCGACTAATGAGTACTAGAGGCTACTGTATGCTGATGCTGGTAGGGTCGATTCAATGACGTTTCTCGTTATAAACAGCCCCCCTGTCCGTCAGTATTATTATGCAGGTACCGTCAATGCACACACGCGCGTTTCGCGACGCCCACGGGACCCCCCGCGGATAATGGATGTGCTGAGATCTGCACAATGGCGAACAAACACACACACACACACACACACACAGGGTTCGTCTGTTTTATCAGCGGTGGTCAACTTTCCACATGTAACACAGAGAAGACCCGGCGCACGTCGTGGCTGTCATTAAGCTGCAGGAACAAATCATCCCAGAAAAAAAAAAAAAAAAAAAGTGACAAAAGAGGATGCAACACGCTTTTTTTTTTTTTTTGCAGACTCCCTGCCTTCCCCGCCTTCTTGGCTTTGTCGTCTCCAACCATTTTAAAAGCGTCGTGATCTCCGCTCATTCACCCCCCGCATGAGCTCAAGGAGCGGGACTTTTTTTTTTTAATATCCTCGAGTGCGTCTAATAACTGGATTATATGGGTGGTTCTGCAAGGGCACTGTAATGGGGGGGGGGGGGGAGGTGAGAGCAATGCAAACAGGTTCTGGACCGCACAGTTAAACTCTGCTGGTATAATAACGGCAAACCTAGACGAGGGGCAGATGCAGCAGCTCCTCGATAGTGCCTCCTCTCCTCTCTCCTTTCGGCCTTGTTGTAGAGGAAGCCCCCGGTCCCGGTAAAAGACACTGGCCAGCCAAGCAACACCGCCGTGTCATCTGGCCACCTGCCGCTTCTGCAAGATTTTTTGTATCGGGCTCGATTCGGACGATTTCCGCCCCTCCAGCTTAATGCTGAGCGGCTCGCACTGCTGCCAGTCCATAGAACAAGAGGACACCATATGGAGCTCCTTCAGCAGCTGCGGAGAGGCAACGCCGGGGCTCCGCTTTTAAAGGGCCAGACGCACTCATATCGCCTTAAGCTTGCGGTCGGACACACGGATGGGTCAAATGACAATCCCGAGTCACAAACCATCCATCACGGGATCACTTTATGTTCCTGCGACTCCACCAGGAGACCAACACAGGTTTTTGCTCGTCATGTCTTTTCTAGTTTATTGGTCCAGACAGTTTCTATCCCTATTACCGTAATACGAAACTAAAATAGTGTGTGTCCTGCATCCAGCAAGCTACCTCAGCAGTCTTCATTCTTTGATTATGACTCTCACAAGTTCTTAAAGTTGGCTAACAGAGCCCCCTTATGAATATGTAAACATTACCTTGAGTAACAAATAGTTACAAGAACTTCTAGATTGTACAATAAGTGTACTTTAATTATTATTTGAATGGGATTAGTTGTATCATTTCTTGGGATCTGCAGTGTGTGTGTGTGTGTGTGTGCGCGTGTCAGCGAAAACAACAACAGACTAATTGCATTAATAATTTAGAAAAGATTAAGCTCTGCTGGGCGTTAGCAGGTTGAATTTCCTCTGTCCTGAAAGTCTTTTTTCTAAAGCTCTATACTCTCCTGCAGTTCATGATCAATTCTCTCAAGTCATCAATAATCAATCTCAGGTTGATATCATTATATTCCACTCAAAGCAGTTGTTCTAAAGTTGACCAGGAATTGTAAAATGACCCAGGCATAAGCCAGTCAGGCTTATCGCCAAACTATTATCACATCAGACTCCCGCTTTTCCATTGATAGACACATTAAGCTGTGTGTGTTTACAAGAAACAGCAACAATGATTACATTACTTTCTGAGTGAAACTCAGGGTTGTTTGAAGGGGAGGCATTTCTTTGCTTTTAGCATTTTTTTTTTAATGGTATAGATCATTGCTGTTCTATTTTTGCAAAAAAAAAAAAAAAAAAACACTCATTGAGATTTTGAGAGTAGAGTAAAGCACCAGAGTGTCTGCACAAGACAAAGATCAAGGGTCAAAGTCTATACAAGCTAAATGATAGTATGCAGCATATCTCTCATCTCTATATCTGTGACCAGGCTATTACCTCAAGCCCTAACAGAGCTATAAGTCAAATCCACAGCTCAGCAGTGCAAACGACACGAAGGGTCAATCAAGATAATGTGAGATTGTTAGGAACTGATTACGGGTGATTCAAGGTTAAAGGTAGTTGAGGTGAAAGCCCATTATTACTGCTGTCAGCTTGAACACTTTCTGTAAAAGTATAGCTCTGATTCTTTTCAATAACTTGTTTATATCCTTACACCCTTACTTCTACCTTTTAACCTTCCAAGCCTGTACATTTCCAAGCAGATCAATAGTGACTTTCTCAGCAGCCCACTTTCTGCTCTGATTCATTTCTGAGGAGATCAATGCCTCAAGTTACTCATCTCTGATGGAGTGGCGGCGCAGTCACCTCAGTAACTCACTCATTACTGATGCACCACCGATGAGTCAGCAGCAAACCCCAAGCAGAGCACAGACAGGTCAATTACACGTGAAGCACCCAGGCTAGCCGGACAGATACCACAGCTCCGAAAATCTGCAACCGGAAAAAAGGTAACGGATGTCGACGGATCTGTCCTCAGCAAACACAATCGGCTGGTGAGACCTACAGAATACGTTGATAACATATAATGCAACCATACTATTGTGGATTATGTAGAAAAGCTAAAAAAAAAAAGCTGTTTTACTATATATCTCTCCTTAATACTGTTACCCAATAAGCCACAAGTGTTTTACTCAAGGGGTAGAAAAAGTGACCTTTTCAAATCCTTGCTATTTGATGAAGATGTCAGTCATTACAGCTGAGCTTCAACAAATCTCAATATGGAGTATTAACTTTGTTTTTGGGATCGAGTCCAAGCTGTCCTGGTCTGGAGCCAATGCTTCCCTGCTAAAAAAGTAGGCTAGGCTAGTGAATAATGGATAGAACCAGGCTGCATAATTAATCCACATTTTCCAGTATGGCGGAGCATACTTCACCAGACACTTTGCCTCGATGCTGCCTCACCACAAGAAACCACTCACATGTCGGCCACTATCACGGCATTTCCCTCTGCAGCCGTTTTGTAATTAGCGCAACTGTAAACAACAACTGTGTTTTGAATAGCTCAGATGCCTCAGCTGCAGAGGCCCACAGGTCGAATTCAAATCAAGTACAATATATAAATATCTTCCAAAACACAAAGCCCAGAGATGAAATGAGCCAGTAGCCAATCGCTCCTAATAATAACAGCAGCTCTTGTAGAACAGCTACAATTATCCGCAGCTGTCGAAAACAATCCCGCCCCCACAAACCACACTAAGGACATTTATTCTGGCTGTTTCAATGTTTTTGTTATCTCCACACTGTCAAAACATTTTTTTAGATGCAATTTGCACTTGAGCAGCTCCGTATATCACATCTTTCTCTTCCTCCTCGCCTTCCTCTTCCTCCGCCACAAATGTATGAAGGCGTAACCTGTTAACTGCAAATCCTGCAAAATGTGTTCTTGACCTCAAACATTAAACCAAAACTACTTATTTCATTCTAATAACTTTGAGGGGGAAAAAAAGAAAACATCGTCCCCCATAAGCCACTGTCAATCCAACAATCCTGCAGATTTTAGCATTACCGACGGAGTGTCTTCTGCTTGGTTGGCCCCCGCGTCCCATGGCTGTCCCGTCTCCTAGGTGACCTGCAGGTCCCTATACGCAGGTCCACGTAGACCTAGTCTCATGTGTTCCAAATTGGCCCATGTGCCGCCGTAACAGAGTAAGAAGTAAGGCAAGAAAGCCTCTTACGAGCCAAGTGAGCGAGCACGATAATCCCCCTCTGTGTCTGCTCTGCAACTTCACCCGCTCCTAATCCATATCCGGGTAATCCTACAGGTGAGACTGCAACAGGCACACAAACACACTTGACTCATGTATGTATAAGATACATACACACATACACATTGACAATGCATTATGGATGCACTCTCTGTCACATAAAGATGAATATAGTGTACACTGATGAAAAAGAGTCCCCAACATGCAGCTGCTCCCAATCACCATATTCACAAGGCCACCATTTTCCTCTAATGCCATGCTCAGTAATGAAAGTAAACTAATGTATCATGTTCTTCTGCTGAACACAGTAATTAGCGTCTAACCTTTTTTTTTTTTTTTAATAACATTAACTGATATGTTTAGAAATCTTTTGAGCTTCCAATGCTGAGTGTGAGGTCGGAGCAAATGGAATGTGAATATGGTCAATGCCCTGCCTCTTTAAATCCAGCTAACCGTCACTGATATGTCATACATGCACGCAGCAGTGACCATGTGCATGCTTATTCAGCGATGCCATGTCCTTTTCATGCATGTGTTGCGTTTCAAGGCATGCAAATGTATTCATATAGAAAACCTGTCCCTGGTGCATATTGATCTGCCTTCATCGGCATGTTCTTTACCGAGTGTTCAACCTGCTGCCTACAAGCACATGCAGTGAGAGGGTTAATTCCTGTACAGCATTCACGACTCCAGGCCCCAAGGAGCTACAGGTGATTCTATTCAGGGTCCAACAAAACAATATCATGTCTTAACCTTTTCGGAAAGGTTAAGAACCAGAGACACTCTCTCGTAACAAACTTGACATTGTAGCTCTTGAGGGCCGGGGGTTGGGAGTCACCTGCTCCTGTTGCACATGGCTGCATGCACCTTTTGGGACTCCGGACACAAATGGGGCGTCATCCAGTCTAATTTGAGCAAACTCACTTTTGTCAAACCTGTCTGTGAGGCAGGAACGCATGGTAGCCCCTGTGCTCTGGCCTGGGTCCTGCAGTTCAGAAGCCTCCTGTCTAATGGTGGTCAAGACTAACTGCTCTGTGGGCGCCAGAGGGGCCGCGGCAGGAAGAAACAACACACACAAGACAACAAGTCAATAAACACATACGGCACACAACACATCTATGTGTCAATAATTTAACTCTAAATGTGTTTTCATGTGCCTGTAACTGCAAGCACAATCAGAGAGATGAAAGTCATGCCTACAAATGAAAGATGTAGACCTGAGGAGTTGCAAACAGAAACAGACCTTGTAGCTTAGCCGGGAGTGCCCCCCAGTGTTCAGCTTATGTAAATACCACATTGCTGAAACGTATTAGTCCTCTTGCTATCTCCAAAACGGCATCTTCAGTAGCCTGGCAGCCGTGACAACCAGTCATTATCTTCTTAGAACAGGCGTTGTTGACAGTTCAGCTGCATGAATCTCATGAGGCAGAGACGCCAACACTAAGACAAGATGTGCCCTTAAGGTGTCTTCTTAAGTTACCTCAGCTTTTTCTTTATTTTTATTATCGAATAAAACAAAAATGTTTGTCCACAATTGCTTGTCTGTGCTCCCCTGTGTACAAAGGTGTAAATACAAACCAGACAAAATACCACAATGACTGTCAGAGTTTGTGTCGCCCATGCTGTCGACAATGTAAATTAAGAATCATTTCTGTGTGTGTGAATGTGTCAGAGTGTTTGAGTGAACGTGACAAGATTGTCCACCGCAGACGTCACCAGCATGAATGTGGCCGCTCACTAATTGGAGCAAAGAATCAAGAGGTCAAGCTCCAAGAGATTACAGCGAAGGCGACATGGAGAATACCAACTTGAACACACAGATTGACACTCACAGTGCAGGTCTGCTCCACACCCATCCTGATCTTTAAATACGACGACAGCAAACTGCGGTTATCACTTTTTATATCCTGTGAAGGAAATAAACACTGAAGTCCACTAAAGTAACTGAGTGTCACAAGAAGACAGCTAGTTAATCATTAAAGAATTAAAGGGTAACTCAATAATACAATATTATAGTATAATAAGGTATTTGTAAATAAGTATTGACGCAAACATTTACTTGTAACTGGTGATGAATGCTTTTAAACTCTGGCTGTTAGGGGAAATGTGCTGGTCCAGGGTCAAAGAATCTAGCGTTGAATATTTTTTAGCAAATAAATATCTGGGCTACTCTGGAGTGAAGACAACTCGGCCCAGTTGGCACTCGATAGTGCTCGGTTTACCCTGCTCTCTATTTCTGGAAGCTGCATGATGAAACGCAGCCCCAAAAAACACTCACACAGACGAATCCGCAAAGCATTCTGACTACATG